GATTTCCTAAGGCCCATTTCACTTCACATTCTAGGACCATGACGGCAAACCTATGACATGCATGCCACAGGTGGCATGCAGAACCATTTGCATGGGCACACGAGCCCCAGCCAAACTTACCTGCACTGCACATGTGGGCACCTCCCAGCTGATTTTTGGCCCATTTGAGGCTGTTTTCACCCTCCTGAAGGCTCTAGGGAAGCCTCTGCAGTTTTGGGAGGCATTGTAGAAATACTGGAAGTGCCAAAATGGGCCCATTTTCAGCCTCCCAAGGCTCCAGAGGCTTCCCTTAAGTCTCTGGGAGGGCGAAAATGGCCTCCCCATGTCTCCAGAGGCCCTCCGGAAGCTGAAATTGGGCACTTCTGGTATTTCCGGAATGCCCATTTTTTGGCATCCCAAGGCTGCAAAGGCTTCCTTCGAGCCTCCAGGGAGGGTGAAAACAGCCTCAAATGAGCCGAAATTCAGCTGCACAGGCATGCACATGTGCAGTGCAGGTAAGGGGGTGGGGTGGAGGTGTTGTACGCGCATGCACGGGGGGCATTGCATTGTGGGTGCCGGCACACATGCATGCGCACTTTCGGTACACCATAACAAAAAGTTTTGCCATCACTGTTCTCGGATGTCTGGCTCAAGGTCAGTGACCACCCCATTATGGTTATCAGGGATCTTAAGCTTGGTCTTGTATAGTTCTTCTGTATAATTTTGCCACCTCTTCTTAATTTTTTCTGTTAGGTCCCTGCCATTTTGGTCCTTTATCATGCCCATCTTTGCATGAAAAATTCCCTTCATATCTCCAATTTTCTTGAAGTAATCTCTGGTCCTCCGTTCTATTGTTTTCTTCTATTTCTTTGCACTGTTCGTTTAAGAAGGCATTCTTATCTCTTCTAGCTATTCTCGGGAATTCTGCATTCAGTTGGGTGTATCTTTCTCTTTCTCCCTTGCCTTTCGCTTCCCTTCTTTCCTCAGCTATTTGCAAAGCTTCCTCAGAAAGCCATTTTACTTTCTTGCATATCTTTTTCTTTGGGATGGTTTTAGTTGCTATCTATTGTACAATGTTGCGAACCTCCGTCCATAGTTCTTCAAGCACTCTTTCTATCAGATCTAATTCCTTAAATCTATTTGTCACCTCTACTGTATATTCATCAGGGATATGATTTAGTTCATACCTGAGTGGCATAGTGCTTTTCCCTACTTTCTTCAATTTAAGCCTAAATTTTGCAACGAGAATTTCATGATGTGAACCACAGTCAGATCCTGGTCTTGTTTTTACTGACTGTATAGAGTTCCTCCATCTTTGGCTGCAGACCAACCAGGGGTGGGGAGAAGGAGAAAGTATTGTTTAAACAAGGCAAGAACTAGTTTAATTTCTTCAGTATCAACATGATGTATCCAATAAAGTTTTACTTTTAGGAATTCAATTCTCCCGAGAGTGTTTCCTGGTTTTGGGTTCGCTAATTGGACAGTTGACAATTGGGGTGGGTGGATGGAAGAGGAGAAGAAAGATTACTTTTCTTACGGCACTAGGAAAATGTTCCTGGAAGTCATATTTGCAGTTGGAGGGAGATAAATGAAGGCTGACATTTTCTGTTTCTACTCTCTATAAGTGGTTAAAGCCCCTTTCAGAACACAAGACAACTAGGCAGTGTAAATCAAGCCACTACGACCATCCCTTTGAAATGAGCTGCTTATACTAAATGTATTGGTCATCCTTGAAAACTGATGATATCCAGTAAATATCCCAGTATGTTGGCAGCCTGTCCCCACATCTTTCCATGTTGCAAAAAGTGATACTGAAAAGATAATTAAAAAACAGATCTGCAGACATCTAAAAACAGTTAAACTAGAAGCCAGCATGGGTTTGTTAAAAACAGACCAAACTAAACCAATCTTATTTCATTCTTTGACAAAGTGACTAAGTTAGTAGACCAGCAAATTGCTGTGGACATAGTATACTTACATTTCAGGAAGGCATTTGACAACGTAGAACACAACCTACTTTTGGATAAGCTAGAAAAATGTGAGATTGCAGTCAGAACAGAAGTGGTATTCCGCAGGTTTAAGGATGAATTGATAAAACAAATGAGTATTCAAATAGCAAAAAAGTGAAGCATTTAGGAATATACATAACAGCAAGATGCATAACACTTAAAGAAGATAACTATACTAAATTAACAAATCAAATAAAGGCGGATCTAGAGAGATGGAAGAACCTGTAACTCTCCTTAATGGGCACAATAGCCACAGTTAAAATGAATATTTTACCAAAGATACTCTTTTTATTTCAAAACATCCCTATAAAGTTAGAGAAAACCTTCTTTAAAAGTTTGAACCAAACAATCGAAATTTATATGGTAAGGAAAGAAACTGAGAATCAAACTGAAATTAATGCAAGATGCCAAAGAGAAAGGAGGGTTTGGCCTGCCTGACTGAGAGTTATATTATCAAGCTGCAGCACTTATCTGGAGAAAAGAATGGATTACATTAAGGAATAAGAGGCTACTAACACTCAAAGGCCATAATATTCAAGCAGGATGGCATGCTTTTCTTTGGTATAAAAAGGCACAGTACATATATACTTTCAGAGACATTACATAAGACATTACATCTTGGGAGTGTGGAAAAATTAAACACCAAAATTACATGGAAATTCCAGTCTGGCTCTCTACGCTAGAAGCGCTAATATACCCAAATCTGATAAATTTTGGGGAAATTGTTGTATATAAGGATATATTAAACGAGAAAGGAGAATTGAAAACCAGATCAGAACTAATAGCACAAGAGGTAGAATTGGAGTGGTGGTCATATCTAAAAATACAGTCGCGGTAAACACAGGATGTGAAAACATGGGGAATTAACAACACTATATAAACTGTTAGTAGGGATTGATGATAAATTGATTAAGGTGATATATGAATACCTATTAGACTATAAAATGAAGGAAAAACAGGTTAAAGAGACTATAGTGGTATGGGCCAAAAATTTTGGATATAATATTGAATTGGCTAGATGGCAGAATATTTGGGGAAAGAATAGGAAATTAACACTGACCACATCATATAAGGAACATTTATACATTTATACTGGGAACAGGCTCTCCTTGTTCCTCTGCCTTGCTTATGTCAGATTCTGGAGGCTCCAGAGTCAGCACATAACTCTCTGATGGCCCTGGCCCCATTCCTGTGTCGGACATAGATCCCTTGTCTGAGTCCTCCCCAAACTCCAGGACTGGCCCATGTTCCTCCCTACTGTCCAACTCTGCTGCCAGCTCCACAGGCCGCCAGCAGACCACAACAGTATCCAATAACATTTTACTTTTAGGAATTCAATTCTCCTTAGAGTGTTTCTAAGTTTGGGGGTTCAGTTGACAGTTGGGGTGGGTGGAAGGAGGAGGAGGAGGAGAAAGATTACTTTTCTTAGTGCACTAGGAATGTGCCTGGAAGTCATATTTGCAGTTGGAGGGAGATAAATGAAGGCTGACATTTTTGTTTCTGCTCTCTATAAGTGGTTGAAGCCCCTTTCAGGTCACAAGACAACTAGGCAGTGTAAATCAAGCCACTACGACCATCCCTTTGGAATGAGTGCTTATACTAAATGTACTGGTCATACTTGGAAACTGATAATATCCAGTAAATATCCCAGTATGTTGGCATCCTGTCCCCACATCTTTCCATTTGCAAAAAGTGATACTGGAAAGATAATTAAAAAACAGATCTGCGGACATCTAAAAACAAATAGTTAAACTAGAAACAAGCATGGATTTGTTAAAAACAGACCACACTAAACCAATCTTATTTCATTCTTTGACAAAGTGACTAAGTTAGTAGACCAGCAAAATGCTGTGGACATAGTAGACTCAAATTTCAACAAGACATTTGACAACATAGACCACAACCTAATTTTGGGTAAGCTAGAAAAATGTGAGATTGCAGTCAGAACAGACGTTGTATTCGGCAGGTTTTGAGCAGTTCTGGAGAATTGGTAGCGGAAATTTTGAGTAGTTCAGAGAACTGGCAAATATCACCTCTGACTGGCCCCGCCCCATCTCATCTCCACCTCCCAGGTTCCAGCTGATCAGCTGGGTTTTCTTTTGTTGCCCTGGACAAGAGAACAGAGCTGGAAAGCAGGTTAGTGGGGTGATGATGGAATGGGGATTTTGCAGTATCCTTCCCCTGCCACAGCCACCAAGCCATGCCCATAGAACCGGTAGTAAAAGTTTTTGAATCTCACCATTGCGTCATAAGTTGTGGACAGAAGTTTTTAAGAAGAAACTGGATAGTCACTTGTCTGAAATGATGTAGGTTCTCCTGCTTGAACAATGGGCTGGACTAAAAAACTCCAAGATCTCTTCCAGCTCTATTCTCATTGATTCATTTTGGAGAGAAACCTCCTGCAGTCTGTATGGCAAGAGTTTGTTCAGTTCAATGACACTCTGCCTACCCAAAGTTTTCATTTTGACTGAAGAAGTTACTTGGATGAGTAACAAAATGTCTCACTTTTAATAAACGTTGATCCAGTGGCCATGATTTATCAAATTGATTGATTTTCACTGACCAATTCTGCATTACAAATACTTAGAATTGGACCCAGAAGCAGGAATGCAGCCAATGCAGATCACTGATATTACATGGGCCAGTCTCCAGGCCCCAAGAATTGCCCATGCCACCACACACTGCACCAGCTGCAGCTTCCAAATTTCAAACACCTTGCAAATTGTTTCCTTCTGGGAAAATTGTATGATCTTCTTTTAAGGCAGTGCATATTTTATAGCTTCTCACCTAAAAGATTACATAGGACGATGCAGGATAAATACCCATATAGAAACGACAATACATGTAAAACCAATACACATTTCTCAGTACATTACTCTAAATAAATTAGTTTTCTCGAAATTCACAGTAATGTGCATTAATAGACAATCTCTCATTTTTAGAAATTAATTATTTATGAGCTACTCAAACCATATAGGTTTATAACGTAATTACATTAATAACTATTCTCACCTGGGATATATGCTCTCTTTCCTCCAGTTGATTAGGAACATCACAGCACTCATTTCCAGTGTGTGGATTCAGCACAGTTCTATGATGCTCCATAGTAAAAACAGGAAAGAAAGGCCTAAGGAACTTGAACTCACTGCTTAGAGACCCATCAGCTAAGCACACTTCATAGCTGTAGGCCTGGGAAGATGTCCCAGAATTAGGATCCACACAATTGTCTTGCAAATTTGGTCCACCAGGGAAATTTGATGCAGAACTTCCTATGAACTTCCTTCGCTTCTGAAATTTGGTTGCAATAAACACCATGACAGAAAGCAGAAAAATGGATGAGATGGCAACCAAGCAGATAATCAAATACATTGTTAGAGTATGATCTCCTTCCTGCAGGATTTCACCCATAGGATTATCCATAATTTTCATGTAAGGATCGGAGAAGCCGTCCACTAGAAGAATTCTTAGGGTCGCAGAGGCAGACTGAGGAGGATGCCCATTATCCCTAACTACCACAATAAGAGTGTGTTTGAAACTGTCTCGGGTGTTCATTGGCCTCATGGTTTTTACCTCTCCATTCTGACTCCCAACAGCAAAGAGACTTGGATCTGTGGCCTTCAGCAGTTGATAGGAAAGCCAAGAATTCTGCCCTGAATCTCTGTCCACTGCCACCACTTTGGTGACTAAGTAGCCTGTCTCTGCTCCCCGGGGAACCAGATCATTTGATGGAGAAGTGCTGTTCTGAAGGGGGCAGAGGATGAAGGGGACATTGTCATTTTCATCCGTGATGAGAACTCGCACCATTATTTCTGAGCTCAGTGGAGGGGAGCCCTTGTCTATGGCTCTCACCATCACCTGGAAATCCTGTATATCCTCGTAATCCACAGATCGAATGGCATACAAGTTCCCAGTTTCAGAGTTGATGGAGATGTAAGATGATGCAGGCTTTTCCCTGATCTTTCCAAACAAAAGAGAGTAGGTTACTTTGGCATTCTCTTCTGTGTCCACATCCGCGGCATGGACTGATCCAATGAGCAGCCCTGGAATGTTGTTTTCTCGTAAGTGCAAATTGTAGAAACTTCTTTCAAACATTGGAGG